CTTTCATATGATATTCAAATGCCCCTCCTCCCCCTTTTTTTCCCCCCTCTCCTTTTTGGTATTATTAATTCTTACCCAGATTGAGTCAGTTATTCTGGCTGATCTGTAGCTATGTGTTGAGTTTCATAGGAAAACTCTTCCTTTAATCTGGCAGTAGGATGAAGGGAGCTGTTACAGGGGAACAGGACAGAGGAGGAGCTGGAATTTGCTCTTTATCACTGGGGCTCATGGAAGAGCTTCAGAAGCTTTAAAGCCAGACATCGCCACAGCTGTGAAACAGGATAGATGCAAGCTTTGTTTCACTGAGCTCAAAGCCTGATCAGCCCATGCTAATCAGTTCAACAGCACAGCTTTCCAGCTCTCAAAGCTTACCTGTCCCAAATGCCCCACTACCCAGCATCAGAGCCCCAAACGTTTAAGGCTTTCAGATGGACACTTCAGAGTCCATTAACACTGCACACTCCTAACGCCCATAGGAGGGAGCAAATGCTTAAAACAAGAAAAGAAAATCATTGGAAGGCAGTTCAGAGAACAACTTGTAGGTTATCAAACAAGGAACTGTTCTCTGACTTCATTTTCAGCTAACAGACTTTGAGACCCCCGGTCATTTCCCCTGCATGGACTTTGGACCACTGCAAGTAAAATCTCTTTACAATAGGCTGCAAGCATAAGGAAAACGCTATTCCTTATTACCACCAACGTCCATTCTGAGCACGTAGCACTTTTCAGTACTGTCTTTGGGGAAAAGAATACGCACAATGAATCTTCTTGTGACCTTTATTGCAAACTTCCCACAACAAGAAGGATGCCTAATCTCTCTTGGCCAGCACGCACACTCAGCCAGCATAGGAACTGGCTCTAGAAGTTGCCCCTTAAGCTTGCATCATTTATCCATATAGGCTCCTGCCTGACATGCAGTGGCTCAGGAAAGGGAAGTGAAGACAGTTTACCTGAAGAAAATAATAGCATATGGCTGGGTATTTTGGCAGCAGAAAAACAAAATCTACAAGGTGAAATTATCCTAATGAAAAATTAGAACTACCTGCTGAACAGAGGCACAGTGATTGAAGATCAGAGAGATCATTATTCTAACCCAGGGGAAGGGTACCCTTGAGAGCAGTTTGGGTGGGGTAACTGGAAGAGCATGAAGAGAGAATGCCTAAACCTATGCTTAATGAGTGCATTAAGAGATTTCAACCCATTAACACCTCATATCCCCTTTTCGATCATGTTCTGCCTCTCCTAAAGAGCCTGAATTCCACCTTGAACCATAAGAAAGGAGGGGGAGTATCACTGAAGGACACATCTAGGTAAAAATGTCTTTCCCTTCCTTACTCCTTTTTATATTTGTATAGAAAACCAAAGGCTACTTTTCTTATTTACTCAGGGAGTGAAGGCAGTAATAATCTTTCCCACAGCAAGCAGTATCAAGTAGAGCATCTCACACTACCATCTCACAAAAGCTGCATCAAACTTGGGAGGTATTAATGCTTTTCCTTTTTTAATTTACATTTTACAACACTTCACAGCATGAATCCAGAACGCCTTGGCTTACGCTTTGTACTCAAAAGGTTAAATCGTTTCCTTCATGAAGATGTTTGGGGTGTGGAAAAATAAATGGGTGCAATAAATCAGCTCTTGCTTTGCTGGTTAATGCACACAACCTTGCTTGTTGCCTCATTCAAATTCCATCCCCACAAAAGCTTTGGAGAGCAGAGGCAAACTTAAAATAAAAATGACAGCAGAGAGAGAGCGGAAGGGGAGAGGAAAGGAAGGAAAGATGAGTTTTCAGATGAGATCTGAAAACAGATGGGGAGTGACTGAGGCACAGAGATTCATTGTTCTTGCAGAAATAGCTCTGAACAGATTATTAAAAGCAGCACATCTTATACTGTCACATTGAGCCACAGGAGTCTTCCCTAGAAAATCTAGCAGCTTTCTTCCCTATTCTCAGCGCACAGCTTTCTGCAATCAGCTCCACGAGTAACCACATCCGTTCCCTTAAGATCATCTCTTCTCTTTAGTCTCTGCCTTCTTCTGGATGCGGCTGTGAGGGTGCACTCAACCTGCCCCACACCACCTCTTTACTGACAGTGCAAGCAGAAGCAGTCCCAAGGCTTCTCTACTTTATTCCAGGACAGGGGCTGGCAACTGAACAAGGTAAGCACACAGTGACGCTTTCCCCAGTGCTCATCTGCACTGTTAGATTACAAGAAAATGCAAAACAACTTTTAATTCTCTGCATAATTAAGCACAATAGATGTGACTCCCAAAGCATACTAACACTCAACTCCGATCTGTTTGACAAAGCCTGACAGCCTTTGATTAGAGCACTGAATCTTGCCTCGGCTGCATGAAGGTTGACACACGCACATATTGCGCATACACAAGTTGTCCATCTTTGCCAAGACCGAACCCAGTTTCTCCTTAGCTGGAAGTAGAGATTTGGTGGCTTGCAGAAAAAAAAAAAATCAGAGCTTCTTAGTTAGGTTTAAGGGAACTATGTGGGTAAGACTTGACAAATGTAGTCACCAGCAAGACTACATAGACACTTCAGAGAAAGGCATTCATCCTGCTTCATTAATTCATCCCTAAGATATAAGCTTTGCTCAGACTCTGCATCAACTGCTCCATCAACCTGATTCTGTCAGCCGGGACCTTGACATTCCTAAAAAAGAATTAATTATGGTCCGGGCAAGGAATTTGCTCTTGTTATGCCTTCTAAGATCCTGAGAGGGGAACATGAGCTGTGCTTACAAGTTGCTGAACTTATCACTCCCTATGCCCTGTGCTGTGCTTAGCCACTGGAGCACAGGTATAAGTTGCAGTTAGTGGAACAAGACCATGTACGAGCATGACAATTTATTAATGGGGGATTTTTAAAGTGACTTTCGCTTGCTGTAGATCTATAGTTTATTTCAGTCTTTCCAAAGGAGGGCTACCTTTCTGAACAGATTTAAAGCTTTTCAGATAAGATTTTCTTTGAACACAAAGGAGCAGAACAAGGGAGACATTCCCCTCCTTTCCGCACCGATTATGATATATGGCAGGTGCTAAAAAGCAATTTCTAAGAGTATCAAGCACCTTTTCACTTGGGTCCTCACTTGAAGACAGCTGCATCACCTGCCCACTGGCAACTGATTTGCCAGGTTCCAATTCAAGCAGCAGATTGCCAGTTACCCAGGCATTCCACACACCTTGCATAGTCCTTTATGTCAAAAACACAAAGTCCTTTTTCGATGTTCCAGAATACACTTAAGAGGTAACTGGCAAGTCTCAACAGTCTCAGGGCATCTTTGCTTGCCACATCTAAACATTGCCTTAGGTATTTACTTAGTATCATTTCATAACAATTTCAGGAATGCTCCAAGAGCTTGAGTTCTATGAGGGATTTTATCTTTACAATTGGATAGCAAGTTCCATCAAAATATCTACAGCTTAAGGTTTGCCATCATGGATGGTGCCCTACAAGAGCCCTGGCACATAGCTATGCACTACTGACTCAGAGAAACAAAGGCACAGTATCTGAAAGACCACCTTTGGTTATTGCTCCCTAAAATAAAGGGCTTAGATCCTGTCACGGCATTTGGATATGGAAAGAGTGGCCTATGGGATCACAAAGGAATTGCCTCAGAGGCAGAAATACCATCCATATTTCTAGCTTTCTGTCCAAGGCACTGACCTCTCCCTTCCCTGGGTGTGTGACAAAAGGGAGAAACAGAGCCAGTGACGTGTCCAGACTAACCCCTTGATATCCAAGCCTAGGCTAAGATTCTTTCAAGAACTATAGAGACCTCAGAAGACAATAAATTGAGAAAGAAATTTCAGCACTAGAACATCAGTTAGCTTTATTTCTTCCTACAGGTGCATTAGTCTGGGCCAGAATCTACCTGGGCAACCTGCTGCTCACCAACCATCTTTGTGACTGATAGCATCATATATAGTGCCAGTGAAGAGCAAGTTGTAATGAATGATTTCTTTTGCTTGAAAATACATCCTAGCAGTGCTATTGGTTGTTCATTGTATCATTCAGCTGGAAATGCACTCCTGTGTCTTGTAACCACCCCTGCCTCATGCCATCCACAGCTTTCATAGCATTACTGCTGCCTGACCCTGATCAAATCTCATCTTGCCTTTTCCCAGAGCACATAACACAGACCCCTGCCAACTTTCAAAGCATTAGCCTCTACTCGAGTAACATTTCTCACCCGAGAAGCCAAGACTTGACATGAGACCTCTAGTAGCATGACGTCTGTGGACCAACACGGTCCTTCGCACATCATCAGCGGAGCCCAGCAGTTGCCGCTTTAGTTGTGTGTGAGGACCCTTCATAACTGACATGCCATTAGGTGACCTCTCTGCCACTGTTGCCACCCAAAAGATCCAGATTTGTACATTTATGTATTTTTTTCTCCAGCATAACATTTGAAATGACCCCATAAATTCTTTAAATGCATAGATAGGGTGCAAGATAAGCCATCACTTTGTCATAATTTTACTTATTTTTGGAGAACAACAGTCTATATCTTCCAACATAATTAACAGAAGAATGCCTGTATCTCGTGGTGGCCAAACAAAAAAGCCACCAGGGTGAAAAAAAGTCATTACAGCAACCCTCAGCTTTGCTGTGGGCAAAGCCTTTCATACAGTTTACTGTAGACACCACTATTCCTAGGATCCTATTTTATGTCACTAACCACTCCAAACACATGCATGGACAGCACATGTTGAACAAAATAGTCCATATGGCATCCCTTATACTCAAATAGAGAGGTCTTTGCAAACGCATGCTCCAAGGAGACAAGCTGGCTGCTGGGCAGGTCCATTGCTGACCTCTCATGGTGGGATCCAGATTTACATTGGCAAGGACAGCCTCCAGGACAAGGTGGAAGAGCCCTCCAACCCCTACATTTGTCAACAAAGCAGCCAATGAGCAGCTCCTGAGCTGTTTATTTCAGGTCACCTAATCATCAGTGACAATTTCAGGGTGGAAAAACCAATTTGGAGAAAACCTTTGCTTTAATCCAACTGTCTCATGTTTGCAGAGACCAGTTGGAACAAAGTCTTGGATCACAGGGATAGAAAGAGTTTGCAACTTGGTAGTAAAACCATCCTTGAAAGCGGACTTGAGCATCCCACATTACTCTCAGACCTCACCTGAGACCATAGTGAATACATTCCTGATACACAAAGTGTTAAGTTAGAGATGGGGAATCTTAGGGTCCAGTCTTCTGTCTGCTCAGCTACATCAGCAACGACAGTATTGCAGGTACTGAAACCTCCTGTCCCAGCCACTGCAATTGGCTCAGGAACTTCAACCCAGACATGAACACTCAAACTGGGACCCACCATGTCCATAATTAGATGTAGCCATAATCACTGCTCCCTCACTGCAGAGCAACACAGCAGAAAGCTTTAAACAGGAAACGCGTTGCAGGAGGTAGACGCTGAAGAAGGGGTGAAGCATTTCAGAGCAACTGCTCCCTCCCCACCCTGCTCCTCCCCTCTCCCCAAAAAGTCATAAGAGCTAAAATAACATTTCTTTCAGCAAATGTCAGAAGAAGGAACTTCCATGACTCATCAGCTGTTGTTTTAGCCTGCAAGGGACTATAAATTACACTAATTAGAACATGGTATTTTTCTTGCAGTTATACAAAACACTGTCTCTTCCTGTGACATCTAAGAGCAGAGCCATCAAGCAGAAGCGTGCTCTGTACATGTTTTAACTAGAATCCACAATTCACTCACAGGAAAATCTTCCTAGCAGCAAATTGGTGAGAGAACTGGCAGAGCGCACCAAGAAAGCTGTGTTGAATTACAAGAGGAGGGAGAGTAAATTAGTGGCCAATCAAACCTGTCCAACCAGAAACAGAGCCATTCCTTGCTGTCAGGGACTACAGCACCAGTCTTACTTTCACCCTGAGCAGAAAGAAGGTAATTTATGGGGTCTTCAGTCGCTCACCCCATCAGTCCATGCAGATAAGAAGTTTAGCATTCATGACTCTGTGCTTTCTGGGAGCAGCTTATTTGCATTTAGACACATACACATACGCAGAGTCTTAGGCAAGCCAAACTGAAAAGCCTGGCTATAAGCTGTCACTTCAGTTTTCAAGCCTGAATTAGCCCAGCAAAGCAAAAGCAGAGATTTATTCAGAGGCCAGCATCCTAAATCTGGCAATTACAACAGGCTCCTGCAGTGCCATTGCTCTGACTCACCTTCCAGCAAGATGCCTTCTAGAACAGATACAAAGAGAGGTTTTTCTGCCTTGCTCCTAGAGTGTGGCAGTGTATTATGGAGCCCTAGTCTATACATCCCACAAGGTGGGCATGTATGTGAACGATGTGCCCATAGAATAACTGTACTGAGAAGGAGGGAGTTGGCCTAAATCAGAGCTGCTTCTTCCAGTGCCTTATTCATCACAGCAGAGTTTGAGGGCTTTGGCTGATTTCCCCTTTCCAAGAAGGGAGGAAATAGCCTGATCCATGAAGGCTGGTGAGACTCAGCTGGCTGCTGATGGCACAGCTGAGAGCTATGGGGCAGACTGGAGGTGGATCTGAAGCAAGGAGAGAGATCACTAACCTTGGCCAAGTTATCAGCTAGACCTAGTCCCATATTCTTCTTAGAAAGCCGTGGTTTTCTCCTGAAGAGACAACGACCTTCCTCAAAACAGGACTCCCTGGTGTTTCACAGCATCTTAAAGAGTTTATTAAGTTCAACACTAGTTATTTTATTGGGTTTCTTTCCACAAAAGTCTCATGTGCCAGTGTCTGCAGCAGTAGAACACCTGCATTCTGCATTGCCACCAGGTTTCTCAGCAACATGAAGACTCGGAAAAAATGAAGTTTTTTAGTAGAAGAGCACAGTCTTGGTTGCAAAACCAACACACGTCTCCCAGGAAGGACTCTGCCTCCCTCCAGAAACTCCCCGACACAAACACTACAGCAACATTGTCCGCTTGTGCTTTGCACAGGCTGCAATCCAGGGGGATGGAGGGGAGCAGCAAGGGACAGAGCCCTCCGGTTAATGCTGCCCTAAGTAATAAAAGCCTTTGGCACCAGCAAAGCCCAAAGGAGCATTTCCCCAGCTGTTCGGAGCAGGGGCCTGCAGGGGTCCTTCTTACTGCTCCTTGCAAGGCACCACCACGGCAGCCAAGAGCGGCTGTAGGAGAGAACCAGAGCAGCTGCAGCAGCCTCCCCTCCAGCCCAGCGTGGGGCACAGGGATGGACCCAGCTGCCTGGGTCTCACAGGCGCTGGCTCCCTGCCCCACCGCCCGCAGGGATGGAGCAAGCTTCTCACCTGCAGCCACCTCCACAGGGAAGGAGAAACAGCCACAGGGTTCTAACTAACCCTTCCTGCTGGAGTTAGCAGCTCCAGGGGCTCGGCTGTATCTGGCGGACATCTGGCCACTTGGATTTCCAGACAATGACTCATACACACATCCTGGGACAGCAGAACCTGCGGCACTGGGAAGGGATATTACCAAAGGTCCCACTTGCTCTTGATTGTGCAAGCTTTAACTGGCACCTGAGCCGCTTTTAGGCCAGACAAGGAAGGGGCTAGTTCTGGTATTACAGGCACCCCCCCTCCTCAAAACCAGACCCTCTGGCAAGGCAGGAATGCACCAGAGCAAGGGGAACCAGACGAGGGTCCTCAGGAAGGTTTGAGCGTGCAGCTCCACAGTCCAGGGTATTACCAAGGGAGCAACAACCTTTAAGTTAGAAAATTAATTCCTTAAACAGAGGGGAGGCTTCAGAAAGCTTGATTCTGCTGTTTGCTCAGCCCAGGTGCAGCACAGGCAAATCTCCTGAGCAAAAGAAATCACCAGCACCCTGCCCCAGGTTAACAGAGAGCAGGTTCTTGCCCTTCACACTTTACTAACACAGCACAGTTGTCCATGAGCCATCCAAGTCTGCAGAGCCCTGATCTAGAGTAACACTTCTCAGCCAGAGGATTGTGGAAGACAAATAGGACACTGCTAGGTGCTGGAAATATCATTCCTTTGAGTACAGAGAATGTTGCTATTCTGCTGCTGGCCAAAATATACATCATCCTTCTGAAGCTTGTACAAATGTAAATGGGCCCAGCATTTTCTCACTGGGGTTTTTCAGATCTTAACTTCACAGTAAACAGAATCGAAAAAGGGTGGAAAAAACTTTGGCTTCTATAAGGTACCACCACCTCAAAGAGACAGAGGTATACTGGTCTCGAAGGTCTCTATGCGCTGCCCATGCCACAGCAGGACAGAGTAGCAAGAGGCACAGCCAGGTAAAACTACCTAAAACCCATGGTTTATTTGTCCTCTCTACAGACCTGCTGCTTTTCAGACTTGGAACTTCTCCCACAGATCTTGCCCAAAAAGAACAGAGCCCACAGACCCCTTCCTGCCCCCCAGTCCCACTCTGCTCTGGCAAGGGAGCACAGGTCTCCTCTGTGTGAAGCTTGCTCAGTGAAACAGGCAGCATATGGCAGCCCACAATCAGCCTCATGATCTCATCTTGTCTGACTGCTATTTTTACAGCTTGTTATTAATAAGCATAAACTAGGAATTTGAGGTGCTGTCATGTTGGATATCCACACGCTTACAGCCCAGATGGTGCTTTATCAGGATTACAGATTGCTGAGCAGAGGAGATCCACACACAGACTCTACTCCTTACTCCCAACTACAAGCAAGACATAGGCGAGACAAGAGAACAGAGCAATAACTCTGTCCCTTAAGTGATAGGAAGCTATCTATAAAGCAAAATCATAGCACTGGTCGTACCTTGGTGAACTGATGGAGGATGAACCATGATTGGCAGATCTCACCAGCCTCAGCAAAACACAGCTCTGCCCTAGGGCTGGGTGGGTATATGTCCTCTCGGAGCTCAAGAGCTGTGTTCCATGCCTTTCATTATTTCCACCTGCAGCTAATACCTTTCCACCACTTTAGCAGAGAGGAGCTAAATTTAGGACACCTTTGGTTAGGCTCACCTGTGACCCTACTCTCATCCTCCTCAGACCTACCCAAAGTCCTCACTACCTCCAACAGGAAACCCGAAAGCAGGCCGTAGCTGGTAATTAGTGCAAGTTTCAGGCTTCACAGTGTGGATGGGAGGGTAACCCAAGGGCAGGTTTGACCCACTGTTTCATGAGCTAAATACACACGTAGTGTAAAGAACGTGAAGACATCAGGGACTTATAACACAGATGTTCAACAGTGGCTGCATCCATGCTATGATCCAGGGTGCAGCCTAGAAGGGTTGACTCAGTCTAAGAGAGCATCAAGGTCAGATGATGAGATGAGTTCAAAGTCCAGTTTCAGTCATCAGGTTCTTCTAGTTTGGATGGACATTGAAGTCCCTGGAGGCATTGCAGCCCTGCCTTCACTGGTTTTCCCATTATGCGTGTTCCTGCAGAGCCTGCCCCAAGAGGGGCCACAACAGGTTCCCTTTGACCAGAGAACAAAACCAGTCTCCTTGCTGAGCTCCTGACCCACCATCATTACAGGGGTCAGCTCTGCTTGCATCATATGTTCAGTGTTTTGACCTACAGATACGGAGAATAAAATCTCTGAAATCAGCAATATTCAGAGAAAGAACAAAAGGGTGAAAAAATGCCACCCAGCACATGTGGGGCAGTGCACAGGTGAACAAGGCATCAACTTCTGGCACAGGAGAGGCATGGAGGGTGCACGTATACTATGGAGGCATTGGGGTGGTTTCCATCCAGGTAAATCCCTTCAGTCATTCAGCCTGCAGCCCAAACCATGGCTGCAGGAATGCCTTCATATGTGCTCCATACAACCTCGCTAAAAATATGGGGACAGTCTCATGAGGAAGGAGTTACAAAACTACCCGCATGACAAGCAGACATAAGCGTCCTAGAGAGCGGGAAACATCCCTCTGACCTAACTGCAAAAGGATGGGGGAAGAAAAAGTGCAGAAATGGGTCAAGGAAAGCAAAGTGTAAGAATAAGGCAACAGGAGGAGGAGCAGGAAGAAGGGTTTAAGGTCGTATGTAAAGAGGAACAAGGCTGCAATGGGAATCCATTCACGCAGCCCCAAAATACTGTCCAGCTGCGTGCAGCCTGGGGCTGGAGGCCAAGGCTGAGGGAGGAGATGTGCCTGGAGGTGGAGAGGAGAGATAGAGAGCGCTGCCAACATGTAGTAGAGCTTCATAGACCTCATAAAACAAACCAGGCTATGGCTGTTCACTGGGCTCAGCCCTACACAGTGGTGCCCAGGGTTGTTCTTGCAAAGCAGAGCATCTGACAGAGGGGAGATGGGTGAACCTGGAAGGCAAACGTGCGGCAGAACAGCCGATAGCTCATATGCGTGCTGAAACCCGGTTAGTGCTCCCTTGTGGGAGGTTCGCAGAGCAATCTCTCCCTCCACCGCCAGCACTGGAAGCGCGGTAGAGGCTGGAAGGAGCTCTTAAACACCTCTCGCTGACCTTTCCACGGGGCCGTGTGTGGCGCTGATTTATTTTGCCCCACCAGGGACGCTGCATTAAAACCCAGCAACTTTCTTTTGCATGCAAGAAACTCTGCAAGGCAGGTTTGAGAGAGGACTTGTGCTGGTTTGCTTGGGATTTAATAAGAAAAGGTGTTGGTTTCTTTTTAAATGGGCTCAGGGTTGCCTCTTCAGCACATTTGGCTGATCCTCCCCAGTTCCTGCTAACCTGCAGTGGAGCAGAGGGACTCCTGCCTTGCAGGATGGGGCTGCACAACTGCTTACCCCCAGCTTTGGAGGATTATGTCCCCCGCCTCTTCCCTCTGGTAAATCGGGTGCCACTGCATCATCTCCAGCCTAAGCTGAATCCACCTGAAGTGCTGTTTTCATCCTCAGTCCATCCTCCCTCTGCTCTGAGTTGCGGCAAGGTTTGGGCTGGTTTTATGGGGCAACCATGCATTGTCCATCCCCATCCTGGGAAAATTGAAACAAGAGGGAGATGGGGACCTTGCAAAACTATATCGTGTTCATTCCAGCCAGCTGGTAAACCACCAGGGAAACTGAGGAGGGAGCAGGACACGAGGACCTCTTGGCAAGAAGCTTCTGGGTGAGTTTCGGCTATGGAAGAGCGCAGCTCCCTGCCTGCAGCTGGCTGCCTCCCCAGGAGGCCATCTCCTCCTCTCACCTAGCTGGGAATCACATTGGGGAGGGAGCTTGGGTCTGAAAACAGAAAGGAGTGTCTTAATGCGCCATTGTTCAGTGGGTAATTGCTTCCTTTCTTTCCCTCGCTCGCGGTAAAGCCAGGGGCAATTCCTTCTAGCTGGAGGCAGCCTCCTCCAGGCTTCTACTTAAGTCCTTAAGAGAGACTTTCCAAAGAAATAATTACTGCCTTTCTACTTCACAGTCTTAACGAATGTCTTTCGACCTCATTTCAACATTTAGTGGGTTTTATTTAGGTGATGAAGGGATTGTTTCTTTTAGTTTAGCTCCTCCAGTCTTTCCTCTTTTCTTCCTTTCTGATTAGTCTTCTCCTTTCAGTCCGCAGGACATACACGTTTTAAGGTCAGTTCAGACCTTACTCTTGGGATTCAGTGTTATGTAAATTTAAAGATAGTTCCACCAGTCATGTTTAACTCTGAAAAATAAGGTGCTTTGAATCAAATGAAATAAGATTTTTAAGTAAGAAACATTGGTTTATCCTCCAATATATTCCTGCTTAATGCAGAATAAAATTCAAATCCTTGCTTTTGAAGGATAAAATTGTCCATCAAATTCTTTACTAAAGCCTATAAATGTGTCATGAAGTGAGGAGGTCTCATCAGTTCAACACAGCAAACATATGATGCGGAAATTTCAAAGACAAATAGATTTAATAAAGCAAATACGGTTTCAGTGGCTGGTCTCACTATAGCAGCACTGACACAACCTTCTTTTTCATGCATGAAAGAACTGCACATTTGTATTCAGGGAGGATTGCAAAAGTGAAGATCAAGGAATATGTAGCCTTTATCTGCCTAGGAAGAGAAATCACAGGCAGTGATGAGCTGCAAGGTAGGACTGGAGCCCATCAACCAAATCCAACCAGAGGAGGGCTGAAGCCTCCTGCACTTCCAAGAAAATCCATGCATTAGCACATTATGTCTGTAGTCAGAGTATATGTTCAATGTCTGCATTTTTCCACGTGTCTTCTCCAGTCCCCAGGAGTCCAAGATTTTCTTCTTACTGCAAACCACTGGATGACACCATCCATTATAGCACCTGCTTGCCTGGTGGGCTGTGAACCTTGGGGTGCTCTGAAGAGAAAGGATGGGAGAGTGACCACTCCTCCCAGTGAAAGTGTTCAGGAAGAGAGAACAGAGAAGGAAGGAGGGAGAGATCCAGGGCAGACTAAGAAGGAAGTACCACACAGCCATACCAAATCATTTTGCTGCACAGGCATATGCGCTTTTACCTGGTATCTAAGTACACGATTTGGAAGGCTCTTTCACCAGAGGGAAGAGGTTGAATATAGAAATGAAA